CCTATCTATCGTATTCCCAAGTTTTACATTACTCTCCTGATATAGTATCTGCTACCGATCCTTATGAATCTCCATATTTTTGATCTTCCACTCCAAATCTGCATTTTTCTCTTCTAAATGATTAATCTACACTCTCTTCCTAAAAATTTAGCTACAGAACATTTCAAAAAAAAAAAAACTTCAAAAAACTTTTTTCTAATTCTACTCAAATCTCTTTCAGAAACAAAAAGCAGTAATGTAAAAACTAGTCTGATCAAGTTTGAATAGCATCAAGCGATCCTTTCCAAAAAAAAAACCATCTTGAATACAGTCGTGCTTGGGTTATATCCCACTGTTATGCCTCTGTCGTGCTTGAAGTTAACATCTGCTTGAAGTTGTAACTTCAAGCACCTGAAGTTGAAACTGCCCAAAATTACTAACACAGGCAAGGAAGGTCTAATTTCAGGGTAGTTAGTGTGCCTAAATTGGTAACTTCAAGCAGATATCAACTTCAAGCACGACAGTCATACATCTAATATTACAGAGCTACAAAAAAAAAATATTATTAAAAACTTTGGAATGTAGAAATTTCATCAAAATGAAGACAATTTACAAATATGCTATCAAGCAGTTTTGAAACCAGAGAACATGAAGTATTATTTAAGTTTTAATCTGCTAAAAGTATAGTTAATATAATCTTGATTTATTAAAATTAATATTTATTCATTTTTATTTTCTAGCTCTATCTCGGTTTCAAAATCATTATAATTCTTGTGTAGGTCCATCTCATTTTTAAGATCATCTTGATTCTTGTGTAGGTCTCTAATATTTTGTAAGATTTCTTACAATTGGCTATGAGATTTTTGTTGCAAACCACGATACTTCGGACGATCGGAAAGATTAAGTAATGAATCAATGATCGCTAAAAGCTTCTTTTTTGTTATATTTTCTTCATTCAGAGCTGCTGCTTCTTCCTGAGTGGTAATAGGTATGGGCTGGAGTAATAAATTTGGCTTATTGTTTTTAAATGTCTCGTTAATGAACATGATTCATCTTTCGCATGCCAAATTGCTAAAATTTTTTAACTGTTCACTAAGTAGATGCTCCTCTCCAAGGCTTTTAAAAATACGATTGTTATTTTGTAGATTTAAAAATCTAGTTTTATGCAAATGAACTCGGAATCGTTGTGATTCTAACGTATAATCTGGACGTGACCAACAACCTAACGACTCATTATCTGTATGCCCAATCATATTAAATAATATGTGATGTAGCTAAATTTTATTTTAAAAATGTGTAAGTATAAGTTATATATTTTGTTACAATACAGATAGATATATTTTTTACTAACCTTTATAAACTTGGTACAATTACGTGCTACTATTCTCCAATACTTCTGTGAAGGTACGGGTGGAATTAAGGCCTTTAAAGACTTATTGATTTCTTCAAGAATAGCATCAAGTTCTTGATGCTGATTGTGATATCCCGATCGTAAAATAACTGAATATAATTCTATATGTTGTTTAATTTCAGGATTTAATTGCATCAATTGTTCTTTATAGGTTATTTCAAGTAAACGATACATGGGATGTCTACGACCAAACCAAATTGGAGCAAACATACGTCAAGCAGCACTTGTCAACAATGGTCGATTATTTCTAACACCCGTGCAAAAATTAATAATTGCCTGCAGATAGGTAAATGTCTATAATAATTGTTAGTAAATTTTTTTGGATATATTTAATATCTTATAAAAAAAATCTCAAAATCTTACTTGCTCAAATTTTAATTTATATATATGATCATTTTGTTTTTTGGCCCAATCTAGATAGTCATCGACTGAAGGATTTTCCGTCGTAGTTATGTATGGCCATAGTAATTTACACGTAATAGCATATCGGTAAATATTGCAAATAGAGTCCCACGATTTGTGATGATTGGCGAATTTTTTAAAAAAACTGAGTTGGTTTTCAGTTCTATATCCTTGGAGAATAGCAAATTGTTTTATGTCAATCATCTTTAAAAAAAGTAAGTTAAAATTTTAGATCAAATGGTATTATTTGTATTAATTTAATTATGAAAAATATTAATGCCAGTTTAATTCTATGAATGCTCTGAGCATGTTCATTTCTTTGTGCAAGGGCCCAGGAATCAATATAAGCCACGAAAAGTCTTTTCAAATCTTTTGAGCTAGAGTATAAGAAATACTATCACAAGTAACAGGTAACCATTTTCACGCTTCATTTATTTCCCGATATTTTTTATATTCTCTAAAACTTTTCTAACATTAACGATTGAATTAGGGTTAAATTCTAATGGATCTGGCACATACATTTTGGGAACAATAATACCGTGTTCAGGATCTGAATATTGTGTAATACTAATACGATCAAGTTGTCGGCTTTTTTGTTCTTGAGCATATGCGTGAGACTTTATTATGAGAGGTTTTGAGTGGGTTGGATTATTAACTTGAACATTTTCATTAGCAAACTCTGCTTGTAAAGCAGCCAACGTGTCTAATTTTTTATTACATTGAGGACAGTTATATTTTTTATTATCTATGTTAGTTGTATTGCATTTTTTGCACCACTTCGATTGACCTTCGACACCTTTTTGATTTTTTATAGCCGTATCGATAGTATTGATTTTCTTATTTTTTTCGATAACAAGCTCTTCTAAAATTGATGATATGTATATTTTTAATTTTAGGTCGTGCTCTGCTTGCATTTCGGGTAAAATATAATATAGTTTTTCATACTGGTCATCAGATATCAAATCACAAATCCATGACACAATTTTAAATTGAGCATAATCATTTTTATTCATATTCAGTGCAATAAAACTTGTAACTGTATGATAGATAACTGTATTATGCCCACGATCGAGATAATTAAATTGACCACGTTGCTTATTGTCGAAGGCTAAAAACAAAAGTCCTTTAGGTAAGGGTTCATTTTCAACTACTAATGATTCCAACCAATTAATGAATTTCGTATAACTTCCAGAACTAATTATATGGTTATCGATGTCAATAATTGTCTTAGATCATTCTAGTGAATATTTGATCTCTATTATAGCTAGATTTATTTCTGATACATAGTTTTTATGTTTCGATCCATATATAGCGTCGATAGCAACTATTTTTTTAAAAATTTTTTTATTTGAAGAATAATTATTACAACTATTATTATTATTATGTGTAAGAACATTAATAAAATTAACAATTACTGGGTTGCGATTAGCTAACCAATTATTGGGAACAAAATCTAATAAATTATTAAGAGAAAATCGTTGCTTATTCAAAATTAATGATTCAATATCATCATAAATACTTTGGCATTCTTGGTTCATGATTTGAATAATAGAATCAATTCTTTTTTTTTGACTACTATACCGATTTTCCCATTCAGATTTTAATACGTTATTTTGTTCAGTTAGTTTTTTATTTACTTTTTATTTCTTGGATATGATCCCAACTCTCTACTACATAATCGTATGCATATTCTAACTGTTTTTTAAGATCCTTTATCTCATTTATTTTCAAATCTAGCTCTAATTGAAGTAAGCAAACACGATTTTCAAGAGTATGCAATATAGTATCAAATGCTTGGACGCCGACCTTGTGGGTCTCTTTATTAACTTGTACACCAACCTCATTAGTTTGTGCACTAGCTTGTATCCCAATTTCACATGTAGTTTCATCATGAGTATACCGCGTACAGGCCTGCTTTTCGGCAAATTCATTATCAAAATCATTACTATTTTTTTTTCATTTTTGATTATTTCTTGGATAATTGGGCAAATTTGAACTTAAGAGCATTTGACGCAAAAAATCAGATACAATTAATTGGTTATAATGCTTTTCACATAAAGAAAAATCTTTCAAATGTGTTTGAATTTGAACTAATTTTGGAAAAAAAATTATTATACAATGGAAGACAATCTTTTGATAAATTACTATTTACATGCCGTTTTATTAGTGGGTCCTTAGTTTCATACTCTAATAAACCAATATTATTATATAAAGGAACCAAAGTAGCAAGGGTGCAAGGTAAATCTTTCACTCGTGGTCGTTGGGAAGCTTCCACTAATTAAAAAAAACAAAACTTGAGATAAGCATCAACAGATTTTATCAGTGTTATCAATTTCTTATTCTATTAATAAAAATTATAATATATTCTAATTTCTATTGCCCTATTCTATTGTTCTATTTATTTATTGTTATATTAATATCTAATTATAATCTTAGCAATTTTTTATTCTATTGACAAAATTTTTATTCTATTCTAAATTCTATTACACTATTCTATTGTTCTACTGTTCTATCCATCTATTGCTACCAACACTGATTTTGATATAACAAAGGTAGTAAAATAAATAAATTATTACGTACTAGTCTGAATTATGTAATGTTCAAAAATTTGTATAGCGATGGTGAAAAAGGATCGTATTCCCAAGTCAATATAGTAAATCACACAATACTAGCGATTATTAGAGTATATATAATACCTAAACGATTATAATTAGCATTAATAATAGTATATCTTTCGTGTGAGATAAATAAAGTACTTACGTATGTTTTTTTTTTTCAATGTTAAAAATTCCTAATAGATCACTGGACTAGATCAGGCGAAGTTCACAACGGAGCACCAAAATACTAGAGCACCAAAATATCAACGTTGATTATAATATTAAGAGTGGGAGCACTGGGCCAATGACGCAATGTAAAAACTAGTGCTAGGTGCTAACTCTCAAATATACTTATGAATAAAAAAGAAAAAAAAAGTTTAATAATTTAAAAAAAACCTGTGTTTTGCTATAGTTATAAACTTTCAACCCGAATTAATTTTGAAGAAACGTTGACTGATTATAAAACTATTTGATTCGAATCTCCTAATTTTATAAGGCTTCATTATGTTATAAGACAATTTCGTATAAATTTATCATATGAAACCTGTAAAAATGTTTAAAAATTTAATAAAAGTAGATGATCAATTTTCTAGATCATCATCTTTGTGTAACTAATCACATTCTAGAATGATCTGCAATATATGCACCGAATATGGAAATATTCTGACTGCAATATTAGAAATAATTTAATATATTTAATTTAAACAAGAAAAGTATTATATAATCTATTACTATATAAATTATAATAAATAAAATTTTTCTAATATATAATAAAGTTATTTTAAATATAGACTACAAATAAATAAAGTTAAACCTATTTATTACTTTAAAAAAATAAAATAAAACAATAAATATTTAGACTTTTATTGTATTTTTAGATAATATTAAAAACTCAATTTTGAATTTATTAATTTTAAGACCCCGAAATATAAAACTATTTACTAAATAATTTCTTCAGATCTAAGTAAAGCTTCAAGTATTTGTAATTTGTTTTAATATAAATTTGTTACAAAGCTATTATTATTTTCAAGCTTGCTTTTAAATAAATCTTCAAGATATATAAAGTACTTAAAGCTTTATTTGTGAAGAGTTTTTTGTTATATTATAAACAGGAGTTATATTTTTTTAAAAAAAATTTATTATATTAGAGATAAAATATTATTATTATAAATTAGCTAATCGATTTTGGTAAGACTAAAACTAAAATTAGGATTATGCTTTTCTAAAAGTTCTGATATAGAAAATAAACAAATTTAAAATATAAGATTGAATAAAGATCTAAATTATTAGTTAAAAATCTAACTATATAGTTGATAATTAGTCAATTAATCAACTTAAAAACTTTAAAATAACTAATCAATATAACTAATTGTAATTGATAGTTAGTTACCAAATAACTAAGATTAATCAACTAATTATCAACTAATATATATATGGAGGTACTAGTAGAAACCAAGCATCTTGTTTCTAAGTAAATTTTTTTAAAACTTTGAACTAAAATATCTCAACAACTATTAAACCAAACTTAATAAAAATTTTTTTATTTTAATTCTATATAGATATGAATTAAAATAAAAAAATTTTTATCAAGTTTGGTTTAATAGTTGTTGAGATATTTTAATTTAAAATTTAAAAAAACTCACTAAAAACAAGATGCTTGGTTTTTATTAGCACCTCCCATATAGTCAAATACTATAATATAGCAATTAATCAATAGCATTTATTAACAATAATATTAAATATGAATATTAATATAAAAATTCTATTATAATTAATGAATTAATATAGAATTATTATAATTAATAAATTAATATAGAATTATTCTATTATAATTAATGTAGAATTATTCTATTTAATTAATAAAATTAATATAATATTCATATACAGCTTATAATTTAATGTCTTTTCTTCTTTTGAACTAATATTATAATTGCAAATATCTAAATACTTTAATGTAGTATTTTTGCAAAATGTCTTGGCTATTGCATTTTCTATTTTATGTTTAAGATTATTTCAACTCAGATTTAAATCAACACTTTGTTTTAACAAGGTGTATTTGCAAATAAAGTTGTTCTCTCTTGTTTAATCTTATTATTATAAAAATTTAACCTTTTTAATATAATATTTTTGCAAAGTATAGCTACCAACACTTTTTGTCTTCTGGTTTAAAATTACTAAAATCTAAATCTTCTAATATTATATTAATATATAGTATATTTTCTAATGCTTTTAACCCTTCTAATCCAAAGTTATTTTTTTCAAGATTCAAAGAAATTAGCTTGGTATTCTTGCAAAGAGCATTAGCTATTATTTTTATATCTTTTGAAACAAGCTTATTCTAGAGATTTTAGCATAATATTTTTGTAGAATATCTTGACTATTAATTTTTCTTCTTTTAGTTTAATTTTAATACCAAAAAGATTTAAAGAAATTATAATAATATTCTTGTAAAAAGGTTTTTCAATACATTTATAACATTGATTTTACAAAAGACATTAATATCAAATAATCTAAAAGATGTAATAGTAGTATTTTCTTGAAGTTTTTTAATTATTGAGGGTTTTTTAAAAATTTTATTAAATATTAAATACTTGAGCTTATAGTTTAGAAGTATTCTAATTAATATGAAACTAACTTCAAGTTTAATAAACGTTTTTTGAATCTTCTACATTAAATTTAAGCTTGTGTATACTACAATAAAAATTTACTTTTAACAAAGTAATAAATGATATATATTCAAAGGCCAGGCTTGGAAACTTTATAAAAAAAATGAAAAGCAATACATCTTGCATTTCTAGGTTTAATATTAATATCAAAATATCTATAATATTTTTATTATCAAGGGGTGCTTTACTCCATTAGAGCAGAGTAAGATAGAAAATAAAAAAAAAATAAAAAATTTAAGCTAGAAATAAATTTTTTTTTCATTTTTATTATATATTTTTAGATTATTTTTTTTTATTATACTAAAATAATTATATTTTTAAATTATATTTTTTTATCTATATAATATGTATTTAAATTTTTAAATTTGTAAATTAAATCATAAAAAAATTATATAATATATTTTATATAAAATTTTTAATATGAATCAAATGATTAATATATCTAAATTTTACAAATTTTATTTTTTAGACTTATTAAGTTATCTGTTTATTTTTTAAATATCATTTTTAAATTCTCTAGTATTTAAAGGTTCTTTTTATAAAATTTTAAAGATAATTAATAATAAAATTATAAAAAATCATAATTAGGTTACACAAATTTAATATCTTGGTTTTCATAACATGAAACTTTTAAACAGACTCAGCCGGCTGGCTTTTTTTTTTAATTTTCATATATAAAAATTTTGTAAAATTTTTTTAAAAAATTTTAAAAAACCTACCCGGTTATTAAAATATATAAAAAAAATTTTTTTACAAGTTTTCATATTTTGACCCAGCCAGGTTATGAAAACCAATTAATTAATTTTGCATGGCCTTACAAAGTTAATTAATTTTTTTATATAACAAGTAATATATATTATTCATCTAAAATAAGAAGTTATCTAATAATATGTTAATAAAGAAAATTTTAATTTTTACTAGTTGTTTATATAGAATAACAAGTAATTTATATTATTTATTTAAAATAAAAGAGTATAAATACTAAATATAGGATACAAATACTAGCTTCTAAATAAATATTAATTAACAAATTAAATAGACAA